TTCATTTTTTATTATGTTATATTTTATTATTTTAAATTGTATTATATTATTGTTATCCATACAAATATATTGTAAATTGGACTTTTGTTTGTATTAATAAATAAATAAATAAATAAATAATACCTATGACATGACATTCATGCTTCTATTAACCTTAACATGATTTAATTACCTATACATGTGATGATGACTGCTATTGCTAATGCCCGTATAAACTGAGGACTGTTCATTATATTTGCACTGATATTTGACTAAATAGGAAAAAATTATACATCGATTAGAAAAAATAAATAGAATTATTTCAGTTTTAAAATTTACAACTTACATTAATCCAACAGTCTAGAGTTTTCAAGAATGTTTCATTTATTTCAGCATGATCCATTACATTAAACATAGAAATAGACAAAATAAATAATCCAGATATCTAAAATTATTTTAATAATATATAGTTATTATAACAACATGGGAGTTCTTAAATTTTTTGAAAACTTTAAAACTTACATCTTCAATATAATATTTACTTATAACATTGTATGCTATAAAATTGTTGAGCAGAATATGTTTTGATTTCCACCATTTATTATATATCCACGCAATTCCACCAACTTGCTAAATATTAAATATATTAAATTTTAATAATTATTTATTAGCTAGTTAAGTTTACAACAAATTTATTCGTGGATGAATTGCCTTAATAAAAATAACCACAAAAAACATAAGAAGTTCATTCAGTATCTTTATTATTGAACAATTGTAACATATTATACTTACTCCAACATCGGGTTTGGTAAGTTTGTTTAACGTGCAGACAAACAAAGTAGTAGCATAATCTGACTGTACATCACAAGAAATGTCAAGTAAATGGGAAAATTCAAAATGAAGACATTCAGATGTTAATAACGGATCTATAATAAAATAATTTATAATTTTGTTTAGTTTTATTTATTAACTTAACAACAATAAGAATAATATAAGGAATATTGTAGACAAATAATGATATATATTTAAAAGAACCCACACAAAATATCACTCAAATGGGAAAGGTATAATCGACTTAGCATGCTTGAAATACTGCAGTAATTGGGTATTATATGTTGTACAGCCTTATTAAGTCTATAAATAAAATTAGATTGTTATTAATTGATTAATTTAATAGTTTAAGAACGAAACACAGACCCTTCAATAATATGTCTTAAACTGAAAATTTCTCGGTCAAAAAGTTCACATAATATTTCTCCTGTTGTGGTGTATGGAAATCTTGTGTCTACTGCATTAAATACCAAACACTTAATAAATTCTGAGTATTGCTCTTTGGGTTTGGTATCCAAAAATAAACACATTAACTATGTACAAAGAAAAAAAACATAATATATAAGTTTTTGGTTATGAATGAACAGAATAGTTGTTAAGATAGGTTGGTACTAATCTAACTATAAAGATAAAGGCACCTACATGTGTTGTATGACATTTGAAATACTCATCAATCCATAACAAGCAATATCGATCCAAAGAAGTTCTAACTGGCGTTTTGAAATGTTTTTCATTCGTTGAATTAATTTGAATATTCACTGGTAAAGATGACGGAGGTAATTGATTATAATTTAGTGAATCTAAAAAAAAAAAAACATTAAATCAAATTATTAATGAGTGTAAAATAACAAATTAGTTATAATAAAATAAACCAATAACTTTAATACTTAGATACCTAAAGATATCCTTGCAGGTATATTGGATTTAGGTAAATCTGATTCACTTAGTGATTTTTCATCAGACCTAAAACATAATATTTAATATTAAACAAATGAAAATTCTAATTTACATTTAAATCAATATTTACATAATTAATAAAGTAGTTGGACTGATGATTTTATTGTTGTCCAGTGTAGTTTGATTGTACTGCTTATAAATGTATTAATTACATTTAGTTGCACAATTTGAATATGGTCAATTTGAAAAATAGGACTTAAAATATTGTCACCAATGAAAGTACCTGGCATAATAACACATTCATTGTAATTTTTGTAAGATAGTATTAGACTAAAATATATAATTATTGTATAATTTAACTTAAATATTTTAATTTGTAAGGTTAAATAGATTATATTCCAGTTTACAAGAAAATAGAATATTTATGGGTGATAGCAATTGAAAATAATGTAAATTAAGTTATTACCTATGTATATAGTTATTCAGTATCCATCATAATAAATGCAAATATTTCAATACAATTTTTTAAAAAAAATGAAAATTTGTACTAATTTATATTTTCAGGAAAAACTTGGGATAATTAAACAATATCTACATTTTGCAAATCTCAATAAAAGATTAGAGTATTTCTGATGTCCTTTAAAAGAGAGGAGTTATACATTTTATAACTATTTTATAATAAATTTTTTCCATGTAGGCATACCTCCTCTGTAAACCCAAAAACAAAATAATTATTGTACCATTAATCTAGTAAATAAGTATTTATAGTCAACTTTTTCAGAATAATAATTTGTATTAAAATCTTAAAAAGCAAATTATTAATTGCTATTGTAATAATATCAAACGTTTATGTGATGATTCAGAATTAAAATTTAAAAATAATATCCTCAAGTTATCCTAAAATAATGAAGGAAGTCTTGTATTTTTATGAAGCCCTATGGTCCTACATAATTTGAGGCCCTTAATATACACAATAATTTTATACTTATTATTCATAATGATAATATGTACAAGTCAATTTACATAAAATACTAAAATATATGTGACTATACAAGCAGTGAGATATCTACTGGTATCTTATTATTAATATAAGGTCTCTGATTTAATTATAAAAACATTCTGAAATCAATATTAATTCCATTATATTGTTACCTATGATAACTGTATATTTTAAATTAATACTCATCCTCCAAAAAATTAGTTCTCAACTTACGTTTTCCTTTTTGATTTTACCTGACGATGAATTTTTAATTTAAAATACACATATCATAACACGATTGACAGCGTATTCATTTATATATTTAAAAGATATTATTCTAAAAAATTGAATGTAACATATTCGTGTATTCATATCTGATCGATAGTTTTTATTTTGTTTCTTAGAAATAGCCATTTTAATTTCTAGAAAATTAACTTGAAAACAATTAAGAATAGAAGATTGAGAATTACCGTGCTGATTGTGATTTCTTATTGCGTAACTTGTTAATTTATTGTAAATTAATTCTATTCACACCAATATCATAGAAATTAAAACAGGACACCATATATAATATTTAAAACACATATTATAACTACTAAAACCACTACAAATCTTAATTTTAGATTCATAGTGCAGCAAAGAAGCTTATAGTTTTATAAAGATGTTTATTTATTTTTTTTTTTTGTCTGTGCGCCACTTTTCTATCAGAAGACTTGCTCAGATTTTTAAGTTTAGCATCTTTTCTGAAAGAAAAACGGCCTGGGGAGGTATTTTAAGATAATTTAATTTTTCAATTTTCTAAAGAGTTTTCTCATAAAATTGGAAAAACCGAAAAAAATGGAGAAAAAACGGGTAAATATAAGAAATTTAGATATTAGTTAAAATGTATTACGAACTTCTTTTTTCCTACACACAACTTTTCCACCAGCAATTTTGTTCCAATTTATAATGATAGCAATTTTTCTGAAAGAAAATTTGACTAGAAAATTACTTTAAGGAGGTCATTTTTCGTATTTCCTAAGAGTTTTCCCAGCAAATGTGAAAAACCGGGATAAAACATGGGAAAACCAGGGAAAATGTAGGAAAACCGGAGAAATCGGTACAATGTTAAACAAATATTATTAAAAAAAATATAAAAAGCCTATTTAATTATTTTACTATAAAATAATATACATTGTTGACAAAGCATTGTTATTAACTGAACTCCGCTCAGAATTATTTTTTCGTAAGACATGGTTTATTGTCCCCTACAAGTATACATTACATTATCTATAACAGTGGCTACAACCATCCTCAATATTCTAGGATGTCTTTTTAATTAATGATTTTTATTTGAAATAAAACTAGTACCTATTTATCAGTATATTACTTTATTTTGATCGATTAAGTTAAAACTTAAGAACTATGTAATTTTATTACTTACCTTGATTTAAATGATTCATTTTTTTAAATTGGGAAAAAAAATTCTTAACTTTAAAAGTGTGTTCACAATCACCGTTAAAAGTAAAATATCAAATTACACTTGCGGTAATACTTAAATTTCTCATAATATTTTATCAACTTAATCTTTCTTTTATTGTAATTAAACTATAATTGTTTTTATGACCATTTTTATATACAGATAGTAGTTTAATTATCATCTTGTATAGATTATTTTGAATATAAAAAAAGAATCAAAAAGATAATTTGGTTGATTTCAGACAAGCTAAAATCATTTACAGATCACTATGTGGTGTCAAAATTTTGGTAGAGTCTTAAATAATGTGTAGTACGACACTATCACCAGTTTAATCATAAAGCTGGTCGCTCATTAAAAGAGAAAAAATATGTTAGAAAGTGTTAGTCATTTGCATGTCAATTAAAAACAATTTGTTTTTGTAAAGTACCTACAACGGCTACAACCTACCTAAAAAAAATACCATTAGACAAAACAAAAACCAATTGACAAGATTTCATTTGATAAAGATTTTGCAATTTGTGTGTAGTATACATTAAAAATTTTAGAAGATAATGATAAAATAATTATGGATTCATCCATTAAATAAAAAAAGTATCACTCATAATACAATTTTATCTTTACTACTATTCGAATTGCATTCAGACGAAAGTAAATTTAAAAAACGAACATACTTCGCACGATAGGTGCAGCCATTGTTGTTGGTGAGAAGTTGGGAATGTAGGATATATAATTAATTTATATCTATCAGTAAGCAAAGATAAACCATTGCTCACAAAAAAACGATTCTGAGCAGAATTCAGTTGATAGTGTTACTTTTTCAACAATCTATATGTCATATATTGGTAAAATAAATACAAATGCATTAAACATTTTCTTTAATAATATTCGTTTAATATTTTACCTATTTTCCTGTTCTCCCGTTTTTCCCATTTTTTTGGGAAAATCAAAAAAGTACCTCCCCAATCAAATTTTATTTTAAAAAAAAGTAGTGCTACACTTAAAAATTGGAGCAAGATTGTGGTAGAAAAGTTTGCACAACAAATCGAGGGGTATTTTTCGATTAAATAATTCAAGCCAGCAAAAGGTGGATCTCTACTCTTTAGGTACACCTAAAATTAATTTGTTTTTTTCCTGTTTAGGTAAAATGGAAATATAATTGCAACAATCTTATTCGAAACCCAGGTTGGAACTCGCGATCCCTAAGATGAAAATAGATACGTAACCATTAGATTACGAGAAACATACTTCAAAGAAACCAATTATAGTTATTTAACATAAAATATAATATCCGCATAATATCAGAACTTCAGAAAGCTATTATTAAACTTAGTTCAGATGCGTCCTTGAGGGGGGGGGGGGCGAAGGGGTGATCACCCGTAAGCCATGTGATGTTTTTTATTATTAAGCAAATTATCCATAAATCTTAAGTACAAATAAGTACTAATGCAACTGGTTCTAAATGCTATAAAGATGATTCCGGATCTTGGAAATACTTTGATTGAAACAAAAATGAAACAATTCTCATTTATAAATTTTAATAAATATTCTCTCAAGTGTGAGATAGAATTATGGAAAACTAAGTGGAAACAATCAATTTACAAAGATATAATAAAATAATATATTTTTAGAATTTAAATTTTAGATTCTGAGTTTGACCAAAACGGTGGTATTCGAGAGTAAAAATTGTTCACCCTCCCCCTCCATGAAATTAACCCGAAGATGCCCCTGACTAATACTTTTAACCAAGCTCGGCTCAGAATCGTTTTTGTTGGTAATGTTGGCTTATTATCTAGTCTGTATAAATATAGACGACAAATACCGCGGTGTAATGTCCTTTTCATAATATATTCAACTCAAATAAGAAACCAAAAATTAATTATATAATTTACTCAACTGCAGTGTAGGTAGTATACATATACATAATGTATAAACTTTTAAATTTTATATATTTAAATATTTTAAGTTTATCTATTTTACTCCTATCTGCTAATGTTTTAAAAGAATCCGCAGTAGAGTATAAAAAATTTAAATGGTACATAAAACACGTAACATTGAAAATCCAAAATTTGTTTTTATCGCTATATTATTGATAATTGGTTATTGGATGTAGTAAAACATTAATCATTTTGTATTATCTTATTCTATACAAATAGTCGGGGGTCGGATTTCAATTATATTGAAGACAGCAGAAGTACAGCTAGATCGTCTCATAAATTAGGCTATATAGCTGATAATATTTAACGGTTCAAAGGTCATTTTTTCTTTTTCTTTCATCGAGATAATCCGTAAGAATAAATAAATAAATAGAGCCATCATAATAACAGACGAATGTAAAAAGATAGACGTTATATTTTGTATTATAATAGTAATATATAGAACATTAACAAATAAAAACAAAACAAGTTTTATTATTTATTATTACAAATTTGTTTTACTAACATTGAAATTAGATTGAATACAATCTATAAACTAAAACGATTTACAAACCGAATATTTCATCGCCAGAGAAAATATTATAATTTAATAATTATATAATTATATTAATAATTATATTAAGAACAATGTATACGATTGTAGTTATTACCATGATAGATAAACAACAGATTAAAAAAGTGACTAGTTTTTTATATGAAATAGTATCCTAATCATATATTTTCATCGGTTTTAAGTACCTAAATATATAGTTAAATTTATAACTTAATACAGATTATAGTTATAACTTATAACTTTTTTAATTTATAGTGTACGTAAATGTTTTTATCCGATCGGTAAAAACATAATAAATATTTATTTTTATTTTTTTAGAATGAATGTTAATCTACATTTTTATCGAATTTTATCCATTCCTATACAAAAATGACTTAAA